TTGCGTAATTCGCAGTGGTCCCCCCCCCCCAAAAAAAAAAAAACTCTATTGACTGGGCCCTAATCCTCACAATATTATACTAGTATGTGATGAAATTATCTTCTGCTTGATGAATTGAAATCAGGACTTCTGTTCATGGCATGCTTGTCCGGCCTGATAATGAGGCTTGTGGTGTTACTTTTCACTTCAGCTTAATATGATTAAAAAAAAAAAACAAAAAAAAACGAATTCTTCCGATGGAGACTTTGTTGTTTTAGCGTTCGAAAGTCATGCAGTCGCTCAGCAGGCTTTGGGTGGACTGAGCTGCCTCCTGGAGGGGATCCTATCAGCCCCCCACCAACCCCCTCAACACCCCCCACCCTCTTCCTGCCAGGTCACCAGCTGCTCCTGCAGTCTGGGCCACGTCGGATGTTTCCAGAAGGAAAGTTATGGGAAGCTCTGTTAAGATAGTGGCCATTCTCCGCGTTAATCAGGGTGTTGTGGCTGATGTTTGACGACAAAGGTGACGGGTTAAGCTTTTTGTTTTCGAGGCTTTTGCGCTCCCTTTCCTGTTTGGTCCTCCTCGTCAGCCGCTTCCCCCCCCTTGCGTGTTTTGCCCCTCCTGACCAATCGGCAAGCTCGCCTGAGGGATTGCATGTTCTTTTTCCAGGTTTCTTTCTCTGAGAGCCGTTTCCTCCCTAGAGGGAAGCTCTGATAGGAGGACCTTGAATAGATAGGACCCTAATTATTTGGACAGTGACACACATTTAATTGGGGAATGGGGAAAACAAGCTGTGTGCCAGCCTAGCGTTTGTCACTGCCAATTTATTTATTTATTTTTTTGTATACAACCTGATGAATAAAATATTGCTAATCACTGGAGAGACAGCGATTGATGGGCGCAGATGGCAGCATTACATTGGTTGCAATTTTGACATTCGTTTATTCAAATGTAGTTTCTCCTAGAATTAACTTTTTGCTGTGTTAAGGAAAAAAAAAACATCCATCCATCCATTTTCTGAACCGCTTTATTCTCACAAGGGTGGCGGGGCGTGCTGGAGCCTATCCCAGCCGTCTTCAGGCAGTAGGTGGGGGACACCCTGAACTGGTTGCCAGCCAATCGCAGGGCACACACAGATGAACAACCATCCGCACTCACACCGACGAACAATTTCACGTGTTCAATCAGCCTGCCATGCATGTTTTTGGAATGTGGGAGGAAACCGGAGTACCCGGAGAAAACCCACGCAGGCACGGGGAGAACATGCAAACTCCACGCAGGAAAGCCGGAGCCATAATCGAACCCTGCACCTCCGCACTGTGAGGTCAACGCGCTAACCACTTGACCAAAACCATTATTATTATTATTACATACATTTTTGTTATGTAGCAAATGTAGATCTCGTCCCACCCATTTTGATAGATCAAGAGTTTATTCACTGTATTTCATTTGTGCTTTGGCAGCAAACGTTTTTCTACCAAAGTTTCCATCCTACTCCGATTCCTGCTGCCTCCCATTGGACAAGACACTTGGACCTCATGAAGGAGACCAGGTGGTGCCTTATTGTACTTCCCACCGATGGACAGTGTGTTGGGGCCCGCAGAGAGAAGCCAAACCATTGCCGCCCTTACCTGACCCCGAGGAGCACATGTCCGACGAGGCAGCAGATAATGAGGTGGAGTTCTTCACCAGCGAGCGACGGCCGCTTCTGCCCAAAAGCTGCCCTAAGATGGTGTGCAGGAGCAGAGGTCAAGTAAATCCCGCCTACCTGGGGGCGTCGTCGCAGCCTGGCAACGCCTCCTTGGCGTTCTCCTGGCCTGGCAAAGAGGACAAATTAACAGGCGCAGGTGCTGAGCTCGGAGTTAACGACTGGCATCCTGTTCCCCTGGCGGAAAACCACCAGGATATGTCGTGGCGTCGACACCCAGACTATAAACTCAACTCCTGCTCCAGCACCCCCTCCGAGAAGCCCCAAATTCCTCCTCGTATCCCAATCCCGCCAAAAACTTACCTAAAAACTGCGGCCGGCGAGGAGAAGCCGCCTAAAATCCCCCCGAGAGTCCCTCTGGTGCCCCCGTGCCCGCCACGGTCCCCGAGTCCCAAAAGCCTACCCATTTACATCAACGGCGTGATGCCGGCCACACAGAGTTTCGCTGCTAACCCCCAATATGTGAGCAAGTCGCTGCTGAGCGAGAGGGCGCCCCCCGCGGCTCAGATCTCCCCCTGCATCGTTCCAATTTTGAAGGACGGCAGACAGGCCAGCGCCACGCACTACATCCTCCTCCCGCCGCGGCAAAAGACATTGGCCGACAGACGAGGGCGACTCTTGAGCGAGCCCGCCAGGTTGGGAAACGAATGGCAGAACAGTTAAAATAAACCCGCGTGGGGTTGGTTTACTTCAGGTTTTGCACATTCAAAAAACGGGCACAAAATTGAAACCATACCGTACAACGTCTTTATCTCGATAGCGCTTTCACAACAGCTGCAGCTGTCACGAAGCGCTTAACAGAACAGTTAACATGAAATGACTAAAGACGCTAACATAACTTCATGCAATCTTAGCCACTTTTCCTGCCGACGCTTTGTTGTTTGAAGCAGTTCGAGATGAAAGCGGGGAGGATCAAAAGTGTCCTTTCACCAGTGGATCAGAGACGCCAAGCTCAAAATGTGCACACGTCTGCTACATGCTAGGTTTGAAAGTAAACAAGCTGGAGCTTCCATCGACCAACTCAGAGTTTCTACTTCTTTAAAGCGCATGCAATTTGCGAGCTTCGTTAATCAAGCCCTATGAGTCTTAAAAGTAGGAGAAAATAGTCACTGACATCATTCCTTTCACCTTCTTGCTGTGCTATAATGTCAGTGCGATTGTGAGAAATGACTCAATAGTGTGACATCATAACGCATCACACCGTGGAACCCTCCAGCGGTTGTGTTGTTGCCACTTGCCCGTTTAGTAGAAAGAATCAATGGACTGACTCAAGCCATTAGGTACTCTAAAGACTATTGTTGGTACAATACTTTAAGGGTATGGTGTGGTATTACATACCCTGACAATTGGTTATGTACTTTCCCCTGACGTTTTGTGTCCTGCTGCAAATTGTTTAATATTCGCCAGAATTGAAATTGACCTTAAAAAGGTTTGTGATTGCCTAGAGAGGCCACAGGATGGTGGCAAAGCACGACTTTCCTATTAGACAGGGCTATGGCCTGACTAAACAAAGCTCCTTTGTCTCACTTTGACATAGTTCTTCGGCACCGATATGCCACAAGCCAGCGCCAAATCACCCTATACATTACCACGTTTTTTTTTTTGTTTTCTCAGGAAATATTGATAACCAGGAAGAATAAATTTTTCAAATGGGTTTGGAAGTACGACACGATAGCTTCAGTCAGACATTTTCTCAAACAAGAGTGACTGACTGTTGATGTGTGACAAAATCCTCAAGATGAATTCACGCGCCTTACCTTTCAACTGTTAATGTCATTTTAAGAATATGTTTGTCAGCACGGGACTGAGTTTGTTGCTTCTGGCATTTTGCCAGTGAGTATTAGACAGTATCTGCTCTGGGTCAACCTGGAAATCCTCTTAACATTCCAGTATTCTCTCTCTCGAGTTGGAGGCTTGAGTTGCCTTGTCGTTCCCAAAGGAACTTCCTTTGGGGACAATATTTTATTCCCGTCCTCTGTAACGTTCCATTGACAAAACATGCTGCAACCCAAGCAGAGCAGATACTCCAATCTATGTTGTGCACTTAAATGTGAGCGAATCGTTACTGTATAAACAAGCTGGGCTTGTGTCAGACTTATCATTCCATGTGTTCTTCAGCATGCTGCTTGAAATCTTATAGGTATAATTTTGAAAATAGATCTCATCATAATGACAGTTGATAGAACAGCGAGAACAACACTGCACAACCGTCCTAAAAATGTCATCATTTAGAATGCAAAACTGGTTCTGTCTATCTTTCAGCTCTGCTCACGTGGTATCTCGAGTTTAAAACTGGGGTTATTGTATATCTCAAAGATGAAACAGTGAAACATTCATTAGCACGACATCAATTGGATTTATTATTTTCTTGAGGTTACATGATTAAAAGTCATCCGAACCAAAATCAGACGATGGCTGAAAAAGTCATCTTAAATGCTGTAAACCTTGTGATTTTTTTTTCCCCACAATATGTCCAGTGAACATAATGGACCCCATATGAATTGCATTTTGTCACATCGGCCAAAACACAGTACAGTATCTACAGTGTGTGTGTGTTCATGTGCGCGTACGCCTTGGACGTGATGTTACGTTTCCTCCCGGGAGGATCAGTGCTGTGTTTTCAACCTCTGTTACACTGACATGTTTCACATTCTCGAGAAGGTTGTGTGTCCACCTCAGCCACAGTGAACACTGTTTGGAAGTTATGCAGTTATAATCATTGTAGATTTCTAAAAAAAAATATTTATAAATAACTTATTAAATTTGTGTAAAGAACTCTTTTTTTTTCTACACACAACATACAGTGGTGCCTTGACTTGAATTCTGTCACTCATTTGAACAGTTGTAATGACTCTCGAGCCTTACACACACACGCAGCTGGAGTGGCAGGATGACTGCCCGGCAGAAATAAACGCTTCATCTCATCGTCGTCTGTGGTGGATAAGTGATGGGGTATGATTGGGATTGCTGCTTCAAGTAGTAAGTGGGGTTTCTTCATTCACTCACAAATTATTTGCAGCAAGTTTATCGGCAAGTACATTCTTTTTTTTTTTTAGCTAGATTTTATCCAAACATGGCACAAATAAAATTACTCCACTATGACTTGTTCCTTTGCCTACAAATAAGTTAAAAAACAAACAGACACAAAAAAAAAAAAAAAGTACTCCCTCCCTCCCCCTGCAGTTCCTTTTGGGCCTTTTTTGGACCTCCGCTACCCGTCGTCTTCCCGGCCTGAGGTCCGAAGTGCAGCGTCCGGGCTGTCGGAAAACTGGTGACGCAGCCGGTGACCGCTTTACCGCCAGGCCCTGTTGAGCAGCTTGACTTCAGCCAACCGCTTGCTGATCATGGTGGCAAAGAAAAGTGCGAAGAGCACGCTGCTGATCAGCATGTAGTCATAGTCGTCCTTCAGCACGTCAAATTGTTTGGAAGGATAGACGCGGGTTTGGTAGATGTCGAGACCGTATGCCACCACCTGCGGGGAGTGGAGGGGAACGTTTCACTTGAGTGTTGCGCAGAGGTAGTAGCAGCAGTATAGCGACTTGTGTAACATAGACTGGTAAAAGTACAAGTACAGATTCCAATTCTGTAAAAGTAAGATAGTTCAGACTACCGGTAATTGCATGCCAAAATATATATATATTCAAACCGAGGGACCTAAACTAAAAGAGGTAGTTGAAGAAAAAAAAAATGAAGTCAAGGACAGACGCCTGAAATATCGAAATAGAGTGACAAAGTAATTGCATGACATTACTTCCCACCAGTGACACTGCCTCAAAATAAACACTCAAGATCACCCGAGGACAGACTCACCAGACATGTGGACTCCAGTCCAGAGGGGGCAGTGTAAATTCCACGCACTCGTGAAACCGTTTGATTGTAGTTGACGAACCATTCGGTGCGGATGATCAACTCTGGAGCATAAGGGATCAGGTTCTCCTCCCTGGACATAACAACAACGTATGAAAACTAAAAATCGACTGTTGGGTCACAATTTGGTGAATATTGACAATATGTAATTACAGGATTATAATAGTTTGGGATTTTTCGTGATAGTCTTTACTTCCTTTAGATTTATTCAAAAAGACTTCCTCGATTTTCCTCTTAGTCCCTGGATGGATAAATATCTCGATATTGCGAGGATGACAATATATATCGCAGCTGGCATGTTGCAACTCAACCGCTCATGATGGCAACACAAGGAAAATTTGCTTACCGGCTCTGCTCAGATATGATTTCAGGCCTCCGAGGGTCGAGGAACATTTTGGGGAGTGATAAAATTCCTCCTGACGGCAAGCCAACTGGGGGGGGGGGAGATAAAGTGTTGAAATGATCTGTTTATAAAGAAAATGGGACTAATTTCAACAAAACTCACTGAGGAGATGGCGGCTGGTGATGCCTTTCTCGGTCAGCGTGGCCTCCATGGTGGAGATGGACGAAGGAAAAATGTAAGACTGCTGCAGCACCTGCGGGGCGTGCGGCCGATCCAGAGAGCTGAAGACGGTGCTGTTGTACAGCTCCATTCCCTCGTACAGTTCGATCACCGAAAACTCGTTCCTGCGAGACTTGGTGCTCCAGTATTCATACTGCAAATGAGTCAAATTCAACCAACGATGACGGAACCCGACAATATGGGATCGTAATAGCTCGAAGGGGGATCCAGACACGGCAAGACTTACCACCACCCAGTTTTCAGAGTGCACAACGTGCACCGGCCCTCTGGCTTTCCTCTGAACGACCTCGTGGATGATTCGACCGCTCACGCCGTCGATCAGCAAGATGCCGATAAAGCTTCGTTCTTGGTGCATGTCGGTGCTCTCGGTCACCACCGCCAGTAGGTTGGGGTTCAGGTACTGTGGCACGCAGGAACAATCGCAATAAATTGTCAATGTCGTCCTCGCATCGGTAGGGCTCGGTCCCTATCCCCCGTGAATAGCACAGGACTACTGTCGTGTACAACAATCACAAATATTGAGTGTAAAACATGCCTTTGTTAACATGTTCGCGTTGATTCTCTTCATCTTCTGACCAACATGACTTTTTGTACTTACCTTATAGAGGACGCTGCGGTCGCCCATGACGCGACCCTGTGAGTGCACGTGCTCATTTGGCCTTTTTCCTTTGACCGAGACAATTGTTTGGATCTCTGTGGGGATCACCACCTCCCAGATGAGCTCAGTTGACAAATCCTAAGGATGCAAAATCGGTGCTGTGAGCACATAGCTCTGCCTTGGGCAAGTCAGTTTTGATTCATGCTAACAATCAATTCAAAACGCCATAAAAGGGCTAAAGGATAGCATCTGTGTCATGACGTTTTAACTAGGGCCTGGACAATTTAATCGACCTATATTAGCCAAAATCAGATCAATTATTGCAGGATATTGAATATAGTGTGACTCAGTGCTTCAAAATACAGAAGCCGATAAAAATAAAAGAAAATTGACATAGTAACCAGAATAAAAAAAAAAAAAAAAATTTATATAATAAAATAAATAAAAGGGTGACGATGGCCCAGCCCTGAGAACCACGGACAGGAGTCACTTGCCGTTCGCAGCCTATATCCAGACAGTCTCCCCTGGATGGAGTCCACCAAGTAGAAGAATATAGACGAAGCCATTTCCTGGAGCTGCTGCAAGACATTCTTTGTGGAGGGGAAGGCAGACACCTGTGATAAAAAGAAAAAATATATAAATATATGTATATATTTTTTTTTATTTACTCAACTGTGATTCCGGGCACACAACAGCAGGAAGCTCGTTCGTGCCGGTGTGCAGTCTGACCTTATATTGGTCATCGACAAGCAGTAAGACTTTTGCGTAATCCTGGTCCATGAGTGGAAGCATGAGCGACTGAAGTATTGGCTGAGGCAGAGCAGGCGGGGCAACGTGGCTCTTCTTCCCAAAGATGGGGTTAAAAACATGGAGCGTTGTCAAGCCCGTGTCCTGGTAGGAAAACAAAAGCCTCAGGATTTATATTTAAAAAAAAGAAGAAAAAAAAAGGGGATGTTCGACAGAGATTGAAGCCTCAAATCTTGCGGCGGCATACCTTGTCTTTGATGAGCAGTGTGCATTGAGGGGGGTGAGGGAAGTGGGCAGTGGTCCGTTGCACCATGAGTTTGAAGGCTGCGTTGGATGGGATGTTCTCCAGGTAGTGCCGCCATAAAATAGTGCCCGTTTTGCTGTCAATGCCAAAGAGCTGAAGAGACGAGAAGAGGAAGTTTGGTGGTTTGGGATCAATGCTGGAGGGCTATGGGCTGATCAATTAATGGGCCGGCTGACTGAATTGGCTGATAATAGCTCTTCTAAAATCTGTTTGTTTTTGAAAGAGATAAATGCATTACAACATAACACAAAAACATCAACATTCCAACACCCCCATCTCTTCACATAAATCCCCCAAAAAATCTGCCTTGAAATCATGCGATACGCTTAGTTGCAACATTAAAGGGGAATTCAACCCCAACATTTTCTTTCCAATAATATGTTCTATGCACCTCCCCTAGTCGAAATACGGCATCCTGATTCATATTGTGGAGGAGGAGTAAGTCGCACAATAATGACCAATCACGGCTCACTTGATTTCTGAAGCTGAGCCATGATTGGTCATTACCTAAGCCCTGAGCAACTGTGATGTCATTTTCAGTCGCCCCCTGAGATGGACAAAAATGGGCGCCTTTTACCGCTCAACTCATACTCCACAAACACAATATTAACCAGAATGCACCGTTCAGACTAGTGAGGCTGGGGAGAACATATTCTTGTAAAGAAAATCTTGGGGTTCACTTCCCCCTTAAAGACGAGATATTGTAAAACAGTCAAATGTTCTGCCTGTAATTCATATCTTTATTGTTGTAAGCATTAAGTGCCCCCAAAACAAGTTTTTTTTTAATTTAAATTAATCGGGCGATTAATTTTAATTAATTTTATTTTGCCAAATATCAGAATCAGCCGAAAATATCATAATAATAATAATAAAACCTATCGGTCATGCCCTCCGTAGGATATGTGCATGAAACAAGAAGCAGCAGACCATGGAGTACCTTGCCAGATGCGGTGACCATGACCATCATTTTCTGCAAGTTGAATTCATCTCTGGACAGCGTCTCAATGCTCACGTCGTTTTTAACTTGGCTGTGAGGTTTGCGCGCATCGTAGAAGAGCTTCCAGAGGTGAGCGACCCATGCTTGTAGGAGGATGAGCTGGGAGGACAGGCGCTTCAGGACCATGGACATCAGGCCATCTTGACAAGAGTGCGAGTGAAGAACACAGTCGGTGCTTAATATAAGGCCTGCAGTCTTTCACGTGCCCACTGCCTGGTTCAAGTGACTTATTTTTTATTTTTATTTTTTTGCTCTTATGTGGCACTACTTTTAAACGCGTTATGGCAATGTGAGGGGAAAATACGGTGGGGTGCTGGAGCCTATCCCAGCTGACTTTGGGTGGAAATCAGCTGGGATAGGCTCCCTAGACTGGTCGGCAGTCAGTTGCAGGGCACATGTAGAGGCCAAAACAACCATTCACACCCACAACCCCACCATCGATCCCATGCTGCCCGTACACAAGTCAGGCGAGCGTACAACTCCACCGTCGTTGACCTAAAATTGCTGAAACATTTTCTTATTACCTTGAATGGCTGAATCCAAGTGCAGCAATAAAATGGATAGAAGAAGAAAAGGTGAGGCTAAAAGCAACAAAGTGATTCACAGACCGCGTCATGCGGTGAGTCATGGAACGTGACAGGTTACGGTGCTCCAAAAGGAAACGGGAGAGACATTTACCGGCCTTTTTGCCAAATTCCCCTTCTAGCTCGGCCTGTGTTCCCGTGAGGGGCAGATCCACCATCTCCATGGTCACTACGTCTGAAAGAGACTCCTCTCTGGTCCACACGACACGCCCTGAAAACAGACAGAAATTGACGTAACTGTTGCCCAACTTGAAAAAAAATAAAAATAAAACTTAAAATTTAAGAAAAAAAAATTTAAATGGTCCAAAAACTATGAACCATTATATTACCATTGTAATTTATACATGATAAATCATTTCTCTTTGTTCATCTATCTACTTTACCCCAGTGACTAATAGCGTAGGGAGACCTATATAATGCAGTCACCCGCAACCCTAATGGGGACAGCAGACGGTTTATTTCTATGAGATTACCCACCCCGACCCCCACACACTCTCGCAAAAAAAGCACGGCGGCAAAGCAGCATAGGACCTTCTCCAAAGCAAAGTCAATACCTGGCTGTTGCAAAAAGCTCAGCGTGTGGTCTTCGGTCTGCAGCATGACCCTGTAGCCAACAGAGTCGTCTTTCTTTAAAAATGTCTGAACGTACAGCTGAAAAGACAGAACACAAGTAATGACAACGTGGCACGGGTGTACAGAAAGCCAACGTTCAAGTGCATACGAGTCAAATCAGCAGAGAGGACTAATCCAGGGACTGATGAGAACCTGGAAAACTGGGGAATATTTCCTCACCTTCTCGGGTTTGCCACTATTAGGATCGATGTTAACATTCAAGGTGGTGTCGAGAAGTCTGCGTCCAGTTTCTGCGCTGAACAAGTTCACGCTGCAGGCCTATGAGATGGAAGAAAGGTAATCATCCGAAGTGTTTTGATATGACACGTTTAGATTTCAATTGCAGACAAGATAGTCAAATGACACGTTCACTCACCGTTTTATTCTTGGGTGACATAACAGCAACAACGGTTTTATCTCCGGTGGTGGCAAATGAAGCCAGCATCGCCTAGAGTTCAAGACAAAGGGGAAAGGTCTCTACTCTTTGAAAATCAGGATTTTGTCGAGACCAGCAGATAAATATCACGTGAGGAACCGGAAGCGTGTGATCGTAGATCACAACTATGTGCCCAACTGCCATTTCATCGACTTTTTCACGAGTTCCACTATAGAAGTGGATGAAAACATGATTTAAGTTTCTCTACCGTAAATGTTACTTTTTAATCAAAGCAGTGGAAGAAGGGACGAACGATCCAACAGATCCCTATTTGAAATAATCACTCAGTGAAGGCGTCAATAACATTCCATAACTGAGGAGTGCAAAATTAAGAGTACAGTAAAGGGTCCACAGACACCTTCATAGTGGCATGTCCATCTAAATCGTGTGCGACAATGCTGCAGGTGTACTACGTACAGGCTTGAAATCCCTCAGTGTGACGATCTGTCCGTTGTTGAGCTGAAGAAGCAGGTAATGGTCGGGACTGAGCTGAAGGAGGAACTCAGAGAGCGGGCGCCGGGACGGATTAGGCTGGGCGGACACCAACACGGGAAGGAAGTCGGGTGCAACATGGAGCCCTAGTGACTACGGATGGGGAGACGTTTGAGACACATTAACAATACGGGACCATGGAGACAATTTTATTCAGGTGAATACCTCCAGAGGGATCTGGGTCATCTGTGTCTGTGCATGAACATCAAGCATGTAGAGAGAGGTTGACAAGGTATCCATGCACATCAATATTCCCTGGCTGACCATGGCGCAGCTGCTTTGTATGTTTGACAGCCACGGCGCTTCCACTGAAACCTCAACAAGCAAAGAAAGAAAGTCAATCAAAAAGACTTGAGCATCGCCCGGGTACGACTGATGTGCAGTTTTCCACAAAGGCTTCAGATGCCACTAACATGAAATTGTGAATACCTGCTTTATTATTTCGCCATCGTCCACACTGTAAGTAACAATAGCAATGTGGGAATGAGGCAGGACTCCCAGTACATACACTTCCCCAGTTCCTCCAGAATACACAAACTGGTAATCCACTGTCTCGCTGGAAAAACAGAAAAAAAGACATATGCATTATTTTCCAATCCATAATGAAAACTAAATAGTTTTTTTTCATTTTAAAGTCTTCAAAAAACACGAATGAACATCCAATATTCGTTTGACAGGAACGGTCATGAGTGGGGGTGGGTCGACTGGGTTACCCGCCCAAAAATCAACAACAAAAAAAGCACCACTTGAGATGGATTACTTCAACATACTTCCTTGACACCAATAATTAATGTCCGATTAGACAGGACTACGGTGCCATCTAGTGGCATTTTAGGACATAACAGAAAAAATTGAAACCGGGGTTTATTACAGCAGTAATGTTCCAGACCCACCCGCAAGATATGTTTGTAATATGGAAAAACCATATTTCAAAATTTCTAGTTGTTTTACCCCTCACCCATGCTCAAAACAAATGTTAAATTATTAGGACATTTTCATCAAGCTATAAAAATGTTGGGGTTCTTACCCATCTGGGAGATTCTCAATCCACTTTTGATGACCATTTGAAAGATAATGAAGAGACAAGGCAGTTTTCTTCAAAACAGCAACATTCTTAACTGTGTCTTGCTGTCCAACAAAAGATGCCGCCTGGAAACTGGAATGTTGAACAAAAACAGACATGGTTCAACAACCGTATTGACAATGCGGTGCAGCATAGCATAAGACAAGCTGTCTATCACCTGCCAGAGTCCAGGACAATCTCCCAATTCAAACCACCAACATTTATATCCCAAGAACGCAATATGCGGCCATTTCCTACCACAAGCACAGCATCTAATAGACAAAAAATAAAATAGTTCTGTAAACACTCTCTACAACTCAGTGTGTCCAAATTGCTTAACGCACTCACCTTGTCCATGATGAAGAAGAGCATTGATATTTCCCTCTGGCCCATTCTTATCCACATGCCGCCAAACTGTGACAGACATGCAATCAAGACCTCACAAAAAACGCTCTTTTCCACAACAATAAATGGGTACAACAGACCAGACCAATAAAATACTCACAAAGTTCTCCAGTCCTGGTGTTTACTGCAGCAAAAACATTCTTCTCGGTTGCCAGAATCACCTTTTTGGATGACTGCAGGTGTGCATCAAAATGAGCAAAGCGGACATTGCCAACATATTGCTGCCTCCTGTTAAGAAAAAAGAATATGGTCTGTTTTTGGTGACATAGCAATTTTGCATTGTAGCATATCACATAAATTCAGTCATTAAACAAAATATACGGATGGACACACAAGTACTTTAATATTACCAGATCAAAACAAAACGCTAAGCTTTATGATTGTCGTCAAAACAATAAACCAGCAAATAATAACGCGGGCAGTGTTTTACGCATATTCTGGATTTTCCTTGATACAAAGTCCAGTGCAAATACAATAAATGGATAACTGCACACACTAGCGGACACCCTCGCAAGTGTTAGCATTAGCTTGTCTACACCACATGACAGGATTTTGAAACCGTGCGTTTTTCAAACGTTTGCAGAATTGTTTGTTACCAGTCAAATTTTCCCACTTGATCTTCAAACACGGCATCAACAGCGAGGCATAACATAATCACTTTGAACGACAACAAAAAGAACTTAGCCATTGGTACAGTCATTTTTGCCTTGCACTCTTCGGGACATACAGCAGGAAGTAGGACGATGTCTTTTTTCCGGTCTCCCGAGACATACTGCCCCCTATAGTTTGGGGGTTTCGTGGTCTACGAAAATGCAGTTCGGTTAAAGCAACACAATTCAGTGCTCGAAAGCATCTTCCAAACGTCAACTTCAAGTCAATAGAAGACTTTCACTTTTCGTACCGTAACATATAATATCGCACGTAATATTTAATCGGAAAAAAAGATGTCGCCGCCATGTTGGATGTGGCACGCCTCATTCGTTTGTTCCGTAGAGACGTGTCAACCAGCTGTAAAAGCCACAATTTACAGAATTAATACGAAAACAAAAAGTTTCAGTTGTATTTGGCCATTTCAACACCATTTCGCGATGAGAATTCGCTGACTTTGTGTCTAATATTACTATCCTATGAAGTCCTGTATGTGCATCATATAACAGTTAAGTGCAAGGAAACGAAGTTACGAGACAGCGTACACGTGAATCCATCCATCTATTAAACGAACGAGGGTCGCGGACGAGGGTGGCGGCCAAAGGGATGGTAAGAGGAAAATTTGGACGGAAATGTTTCCCGTATTAACTGCACAATTTAATTAGCTAATCACTCTATGAAATATCGGAAATATGTTCACTATGAATGTGTACTGTACACTAACCACTGCAAATAAAACGGCACTATCTACACTGGAAAAAAATATATATATTTGGTTCCTTTGGATTTACTTTATTCGGACATGATTAAAATGTGTAAAACTGACATATCCATCCATGATACATTATCTGAACCCCTTACCATAGCCATCGCACTGAAAATTTCTGGCTACACTCCTGGGACCAGCACGCTCTTTCTTTTTTTCAAGAGCACAAGTTCCTGTGTCTTTTTGCCTGTGAAAGTGTGTTTATGGAAGCCTTACACATAGTACACTACAATAATACCATAAATTCCTATAAACAAACAGAAGAAAGTCAGGGAAGGACTTTTCTGCTATTTATTCTTCGTATACAGTGGCGGCTGTTTTAAAGTTCTCTATAAATACAGTTGAGTTGAGTTGAGTTGAATTGAGTAATCTCAGTCATTGCCATTTTCTGTTGTTAAATTGATAATACAGGTACTCTGAAAAAAAAATAATCCTTTCAGAAAAGCCACATTCACAGCTATGTTTCAAGATCTGGTTGATTGACACAGATAAATGTTTAATTTTTAAATTGTATGATTTATTATCTCGGGAATCATGTTGCATACTGCGGTAACAGTAATATTCATGAAATAATTTGAAGAAAAAAATGCACATCGCTGCTGTCGGGTGGATCCGTGCATCTCCAAAATCATCACTTTTCAACCCCCCATGAAACCATGCTAATTTGAAGATAAATTATCTGAAGGTTTGTTTGTTTTGTTTATGTTTAGTTTTGCCGTATGCGGAAGTTGGTCGCACATGTTCCGGACTGTTTTGAATGTCACTGTACATTGCTGGCATGGACACACAAATAATTATACATAAATTGTAATGAATTAATAAATAAATATGATAAATATGGATAGTTTTCCGCCTAATATCCGACCATTTAAGTGGTTAGGAGGAACTGGTTGGGGCAGTTCTGCCACATCTAAAATGGCGGACGGACTAACCGTTCTAAGGCAACGAGCCAACCTGATAAATTTGGTTATGTGTCTGCATTTTATACGTCTATGGGTCTACTGTACAGGACTGCTGATGACGCACGGGGTTCGTCAAATCACGCGTCCCCTCCCAAAAAACCTTCCCGAGATAACTTAATTTACGTAAAAAAAAGGTTTCCGTTTTGATTCCCTCAATCAACCATAAATTCTCCCTACATAGTAATTACTGCTTTTATTTATTTGTAACCTGAGCCATTTTCCTCGTACATTGTAATGGCAAGAAGAATACTTAAAAATATCAAGGTTGGGTGTACCGAAACACATTTAACGTAACAGCTCACGTTTTATGACGTAAATTCCAAGGTTTTAGTGTAAGAAAGAAAATGTCGAAGGATAGCAACGAGTTTGGCGTGAAGCGTTTACGGATCGACAGCGCCCCCTGTGAAGTTGCGCACTCAGTTTCTTCTTCCCCTAACTAGCTTTTTTTCTGTATGGGATTTCAAGATGGCGTCGAGCGGAGGAAATGGGGAACACGAATGGACAGCGGCGGTGCGGCCGCTTTTATCAGCCTCGTACACCGCATTTGAAACGAAAGAGCTGCCGCAGCTTATCGGATCCATTATTAACAGGTAAGCGGTCGCGTGTCAACACGTCGCGGCTCCGCGTTTGGGCGAACACCGGTCGCATCCACCCAGGAGTGCGCTGGCTTGCTAACTTGCTAACGTAGCCTGGGTAGTGGAACTGGATGGGGAAACGTCAACCACTTAGCTTTTGCTAAGCTAAAGGTAGCGGCTAAGGGGCTAGTTGAGCTTAACTTGCATTGGCATCAAATCAGCTGCTGGTGTTAGCTAACTCAACTACTTAAAATGCATTTAAGGTTAACCTAACTCGGTACACGAATTTTATTCGAAACACAATACGCCCTTGGATACGAGGGCATTTATGCGTGTTCGAGTATACACCTTTACAACGTAATTGTAAAATGTTAGCAAAATCTGCTTCATCATTAGCTAGCTAACCAAACATTACTAATCAAGCTAGCAAATGGGCCTGCCAAAAGGTCTGGATAACGTGACGAGGAAATGGCCACATACGTGACAATGTTGAGCGTAAAACATTGGTTTTGCATGGCTGGCTAGACTTTTCCAGAATCGCCTGGGTGCACCGCAGTGACAGTTCAGCATGTTATCTACTCTGTTGACACTTATTATGTGTGGTTGTGTCAACGACTGCAGGTGGGCACCCGCGACTCTTCTCCGTATTTTCTAGGAGCAAATCTGTTAAGATGTTGAACTAAACTATGACCCAATTTTACAGAATTTAAGAATAATAAAGGAAACATTTTTTTTCAAAAATACATTTTTTTATACGTACACTGCCTTTCAAAGATTTGGCGTGAGGATAATTTAAGAAATGCAGTCTACACTCGTGCTCTGCATCCAGAGCACATTTTTTTTAATTTGTAAAATGTGATGACAAACCACCAAACAAAGTTGGAACCAAGAAGTGAATACACATGCCAATTATATACTCTCTGTCATCTAATAGAAGATTATTTATTTGTTCTGTCCGCCACATGAAGTTGCTGACATAGATACACACTAACCTTTGTCAAAGTTTTTTTTTTTTTTTTTTTTAAACAAACTGTAACTTTAAGTCAATTCCTTGACTTCAATGGTGATGTCATGCTTTGCGGGTGAAAAATAATGGAATGGAGAGACAGGAACATGCCTCTATTTTGTTAGGATTGATACAAGTTATGATAGTAGGAAAGCATTTAGGGAAAAAAAAGATGAGGTCTATGATAATAACATTTCTAGGCATCCTTATTATTTCTCCTCTTTAATTCTAAGATTAGTCGTTACACAGTACAACATGGTGAAGGCTTAGCCAACTTTGAGAATATCCTAAGAGTCTGCGCGCGTGTGTGTGTGTGTGTGTGTGTGTGTGTGTGTGTGTGTGTGTGTGAGAGTGAAAAGTCATTACAACATTCTATTCAAATGCATGTGTCCAACATGTAATCAATGATTTCAATTTTTATTTACAGTGAATCGGACATTCTTCATCATGACAAACAGTATGAGCCGTTCTACTCGTCATTCGTGGCACTCTCTGCACATTACATCACTACAGTATGCGGGCAAAGTACGTAACTTCAATGTTCTTTCATGTTTGGGTCATTGCAGTGTTTCTTCTCTCGGGTATTTAATAGATGACCTTCAGAAAAAGTCTAAATGTTGTAGTTTTTTTAATTAATTGCTTTGCATTTTTTTTCTTTTTTGAAGTACCAAGGAATCAGTTGCTCTCTGTTGCTGCGGCATGCAAAGTTCTGATCGAATTCTCTTTGCTGCGCTTGGAGAACCCTGACGAAGCATGTGCTGTGTCACAGGTGAGATCACCCAGTCAGGATTTTGTCGCTCAAATTTACCATTAAATGCAATTTGCTTTCATTTTCCATATTGTATTTTTTTATTTTTGTAATTTCAGCCATGACTTCCAATCAAATATTACAATGCATTATTATTATTCTTATTATTGTTGTTATTATTATTATTATTTTTGCAGAAACACCTGATCCTTCTAATCAAAGGACTTTGCACGGGCAGTAGCAGACTAGATCGCACGGAAATTATTACTTTCACTGCAATGATGAAGTCTGCCAAGCTGCCTCAAACGATTAAAACCCTTTCCGATGGTAAGAGTGGTGTTGTGCTTATCTGAATGTGACACAAAAAGACTTTTCAGCATTTTTACTCCAGAAAAAGTGCATTCCTGTACAGTAGTCTGGATAGAACCATTAATACATCTCTAGAGGGAAAATAAGAGCGACACATACATTTGAGACATTAGTGTAAGTTGAAAAAAATGTGATAAAAAATATAAATAATTACAATTTCATTGGGTATTCTAAAATTGTCAATTTTGCTTTTGATTTAACAGTAGAGGATCAGAAGGAGGCACCCAGTACTTTGAACCCTGAACTGCGACACAAAGAAGTGCAGATGAACTTCTTTAATCAGCTAACTTCAGTGTTTAACCCCGACCTTAGCACCATTTTTGCCCCTTCGCCACACATGCAGGTAAGGCTTGATGTTAAATATACATCCGAATTCAGCATAATCAACTAACTGCAGAATGGCCGTCATCGACGGCCATACATTTTTAGTTATAATTCGGATGACTTTCTTTATAGGCTGAGAGTGAGTGTGATAACCAGACATCTGACCAAGCTGCTCAGGCCAAAATGAAGAATGCATTTGTCGCTCAGAATGTGTCAAGCCTACAAGAACTGGGTGAGTAGTAATTTATGTGGACAGGAAGCTACATGCCGATAAAAAATTCTATGCCAGAAAAATATTGGTTTAGAAATAATATAATAAAAGGGAGATCAGGGGTTCAGCTTGACTGGAAAATT